TCCCACTGACATACAAGGGAGCATTCCTGGACTTAGTCTATAATGTAGGAAATGCCACGGTGGTCTGTCTCCAGCAGTATCGTATCATAACTCCACCCAATGCCATACCAGGTGCTGCAGAGGATGGCAATGGCGCAGCCCAGTGCACCTCAGTCCTACAGGTCGGGAGTATTTCTTCTAGACCTGAGCTGTGATCAGCTTGGATCAGTTATACCATGAAAAGTGAGGAGTACAGCCCCGGTCGTTTTATCTTAACCAGCACCACTGTAGATTCTATTCTTGTTTTTCTGAACATCTGAGTCTCATCTGAATCTTGTTTCTATTGAGACAAATACTGACTCTTGCAGCAGTAAATCTCACAAATTAATAATTCATCGCATAACAAGTTCTGGTGCTTTTTAATTATATTCATTGCCCTATCGGATCTGCAATACTGTACTATGGGAAAGGGTAGTTAGCAATCCAGACTGGCTTCTCTAGTCCCTTCATTGCTATGGCTCTATCCTATCTCCTATTACTTTCCAAACCAAATAGTCCAGAGGCTTTTAAAGCTCTCCTCATAAAAACACAGGCCCTCCCCTCAGGTGCCTCTAATCATTTTCATTGCCCTTTTCTGGACCTTTACTATTTTTAAATCATAAATTTTACTTAATGATCTTCTGCAGCCCAGCATGATCTTCCTAGAGCTTTTACAGCCTAATTCTCTTTTAAAATTCTCTGTTATCAGAGTTTACTCATATTTTGTAAAGCCACCTAACTTCAACCTGCAGCTTTAATTACGCGGTTGTGTTTGGGGTTTACTCCCTACTGATGTATGGGGTAGAGGAGTGTGAAGGATGCAAATGTAATTTTAGTAACCTGCTAAACCCACTCTTCCCCACCCCTGCAGCATCAGCCCCAGACTCTAGCCCCAGGAAGATCCTGTGGCAATGCTGGGATTGTTAGTTCAGTACTGGAGAGCAGAAAGAGTTAATCTTGGAAATCCATCATGCGTTAAGTGCCCAATTCTGTGAATCAGCCCACCGCTTGGCCACTGGCCTCCTTCCTCCCTCAGACCACAGAATAGTGGTGCATTTTCTCTGTGCTCAGGACTGTGACACTGAGGCTAAAATAGTGCTGCAATGTAGACGGTGCATTCTCTTTACCCTGCCCCCCCACATCCCTCCTGTGCAAGTGTTTGCATATGTCCTGCGGCACTTAGCTCTGTGCCATGCAGACAGTAAGCACACTCTATGCAGCCTCCCTAAAACTTCTTACACACAGTAAGTATTCCATTGACTCTGCTGTAAGGAGTTCTCCATACCCATGGAGGATAGGGAAGGATTTGCTCCTACATAAACAATGAAACTGTGTGTGGTGTTAGATTTCTAGATAGTACCTGTGCTTACAGGGAAGTGCCCAAGTCTGTGGGGCCCCTCTGCTCTGCTGCTTAGCAAAGTTCAGACCCATTCTTACCTATCAGTGGGAATAAGTTTGTTGATCTCCTGGATATAGACATAGGTCTTTAGCTGCCCCATGTGAACTAACTAACAGTTTTTTTTGAGGGGCACTCATGCCTCAAAGCCCCTGTGTGCGGTAACAAATATAAACTAAAAACATCATTTGCAAAGCAGGCAACAGATCCTACTAGATCCCCAGGGTGCGGACATGTCAAAGAAAAACTACCACTTCCCATCATCCTGAAATGGCCAGGCTGTCCGGCTAGGGGAAGATCGTAATAAAGGTCATTCAGATGACCAGTTCTCTCACTAAAAGGCTGGTGCTAATGAGCTATTAGGGTTTCCCTTTGTGCACAATGGGTTATTAGGAAATACAATCATTGCTATTTTCAATACAGTCTATAAATCCAATGATTAGAAACTACCCAGAGGTGGAAATTGTTCTATAATTTCTGCCACTTGCTATGAATAAGTGAATTCATTTGTTCAGTAAGTACAACTTTCTATTCCTTTCACTATCTCTCCGAGTTACTAGAGGGTTTTTTGGCAACAATTCATTAATGAGGTTTGCTTTATATTCCTCAGATCATTCAAAAGGGTGAAAGGTGCAATCAGGTTTCTGCGAGGATTGAAAATATTTCACATACACCACTGTGGTGGTAGGATTAATACCTCACAGAATGTCACCTGGGAAACACAGCATAAAAAAGTAAAGTTTCTACAGTTTTCGTAGATGGTTATTCTAAAAGGCCTCCTGCAGTTTGGGTGATACAAACAGTAAATTGATGGGAGGATACTGTACACAGACATCCTGGCAAAAAATTCCATTATCTTTCAATACATGAGACAGACAGAGTCACATTCTGCCATAATTTCTGGTGGTGTAAATCTGGAGTAAGTCCACTGAAGTCACAACAGTTACTCTGGATTTATACTGGTCAAATCAAGAGTAGAATCTGGGCCACAGACTAGACAGTGCACAAATACACACATACACTGAAGTAATGGGATTTCTCCTTTCAACTAGCAGAGCCCTGGCTTTGGACAAGATTATTGGTTTGAATCCCAGTATCATCTTTATCCCTGAACTAATTTCTAATTGAGGTCATGCTACTGCTAGCCAACCTGGCAGCTGTAGTATTGGAATATATTAGTCTCTCATGATAACAATCAAAGCCAAAACAACTCAGGTTTACCTTATAGACACATACTGGTGCCTGAAATTATTCTGGGCTGAGCACATTTGAGGAGAGTGGCTGCAACAACAAAAAGAAAGATAGCCATAACTCAGAGTAGCCACATCCCCGTCGTCCATAGCTGAAAGACGTCAGCTGAGCACCAGAGACGTGGGAGTGTTCAGAGGCCTGGAAGGAAAGGTAGATGGGGAGGCTCTGCTGTGGTGGAATGCAGAGAAGGGGACTCTGAAGCTGGGCGGGAGACTGGGAACTGAGTGCTTGGAGGGCGTTGCAATGGCTGGGTGGAGTTGGAGGTGTTTGGGAAGTAGACTCAGGATTTACTGTTTGGGTGGAGGGCTGGATCCTGTATGTGTTATGGGCAGCATTTTAACTAGAAACGAGAGATCAGGCCAGATGCTTGTCAAACTGGGGTAGCAGGAGGGTTCCACAGCTGACAACAGGAAGGATAATTCCTGCTGGCAAGGAAGATCTGGGAGCGGGTGGGCTGCAGAGCATGGGGTGTTATGGGAATGTTGAGCTGCTGGGAAAGGAGTCAGATTAGCTGTTTGTAAATTGGATTTGGGAGGAGAATATATGTCTGTGCATCCATTCTTGGCTTCTAAGGGCTTAATTCACCCCAGAAGCTCTCAATAGTTTCTTTGGCATTAAATTCTAGCCAGCACCACCATAAGATTTCTTAATTAAAATCAGACTAAGGGTTTAACTTTAGGTTGTAAAGATCTCTGAATTAAAATTCCATCTTGCGACTCAAATTGCATTAACAGAGAAGGTGGAATCTTATTTTCTTTCAAAAAATTTCTCAGGAGCAAAGGACAACTGGGGTCACCAGAACAGAAAGAGATATATTAAACATGTAGCTTTAATGTATTAATAAATCTCTAAATATTCACCTCTGTTGGCTTTTTGCAATAATTCTGAGACCCATGAAACAATCTTCCCAGAGACCCATATTAAGAGTGCCCATCTGTGTTACAGAGGCTTCAAGCAGCTCTGAGGAACCAAGGAATCCTGATAAGAGACCGTCTCTTCCTTCCCCAAGTTTGGCAAACAGACTCAGCAGAAAGGAGGATATGTGGGTTCTCTTCTGTAGGTGGTACTAACCTTAACTGCCTCATTCCTTCTGGTTTTAACACTATCATTGCCTTGACTGTATCTGTAGCTCCTAGAGTTACATTGTGAAAAGCCACAAAACACCTACAGGGTTTTACAGATTATTAAACCAGTAATTCCAGAATCTGATTTTGATAGTTCTACCCAGAACCCTTGGAGTGTGGCTTTCATGAGTTTATTCTTTGTGTTCTCCAGAAGCCGTAAGCCCAGCTGCTTCATTTCCTGACCTGCCGGGGCCCTGCGGGTGTGAGATGGCTAAGCCCACCCTGCTGGTGCATGTGTGAAATCCGTAGGTTTCTGTGAGATGCTTTTATTGGGCTCAGAAAAGCAAAAGTCATGATTATTTACTGAGGCACCATGGGGCACCCGTGAATGTGACATCTGTGTTAAATGAGTATCAGTTGGAACAGAAGCCCCCAATTTAGCCCAGAAAAGGTACAGGACAGCCACAATACAAGTTTTGGATTGTGGTTCTCATGACACAGAGAGGCTACCTTTAGGAGTAAGAGGGAAGTTCAAGGTCTACAGCCCATTCAATGCTTGGCCCCTCTGATGAGAGTGCAGTATGGGGGCCAATTACAGACAGTTGTCCTGAGGATTTTTTCTACTGGGAACTAGACTGAGATTTCCAGGTCATTTCATAAAGGCCACTGAACTTTCACTCACTATCACCAGGGGCAGGTCACCAAGTTACGTAGCGGCAAAAGGGCATTACCATGCCTGAGCTAAGCAGCCACTGGGCATTTAATGGACTCTAATATCTCTTTTGCTGTCATTGAGACTCATTTCATTGTGTGTTCATTCCCTCTGAAGCACCTGGCAGTGGCCACTGTCGGAAGACAGGATACTGGGCTAGATGGACCTTGGTCTGACCCTGTATGGCTGTTCTTATGTTCTTATAAAAATGTTCAAATTAAACATTTAGGAAATCAAATCTCCTATTTGTATCTCACCAGCTTTACGAAGCTCCTGAGATTAGTGTCCACTAAATTATGACTGTCCATACAACAGAGAAGAAAAAGCTGGAGGGATGAGAAAGGAGTACAAATAGTTTCCACAGCCATTTGCCTCTGGTTTTAATTCCTAAGGATTAAACGCATGAGAAACTGCAACTGCCTCCGTTTATAACTCTATCTTCTGCTCTGCTAATTATTTATCTCTAACCCAGCTCTTGCCTCTTTGCTGCGTGGAGTAACATTTATAGAATATCTGATGTACATTTACTTTGGTTCCCCTTTCATGAATTGTTGGTATTTTCCCTGTCTTGGCTGTTAATGAAAGGTAAGAGAATCCCTTCTCTCACTAAAGAATCCTTTAGTGCAGTGACAGCTCAGTCTGTTGCCATGGAAGTGTTTTTGACACCACAAATAGAGTTCTAAAAGTTCCCTTCATGATCAAACTGCTAGAGGCTCCAAGCTCAGACCAAGGACGAAGAATCCTGCATTGCTGTCAAACACAGTGAGTTCACTACAAACAGATTTTAAATATGAATTAGAATAATTAAGGAAATATAACTGCGGGTGGTGGGAGAGAGTGACTTCTCTAAACACGAATGGGAATTACCCCTGCACAACACAATCAAGGGGAAACGCAAAGCAAACAAACCTTTGTTTCAGGGGTACATGTTCTACTGAGGAATATGACGAGCTCATCAGCAAACAAACTGGGTGGAGTCAACTTCTAACTACAAATTGCTTAAGTACTAAACATGGCTAAGAGGACTAGCAAGGCAATGCATCAGGTGTAGGGCCAAACTGGACAAGTTCAGGACCTTGAATCTCAGGATTAGAGGAGATGGCAGGCTCCATATTCAGGAAGGAAGATGCCGGGGATCAGATACTTCCAGTGACAAGGGCCATACGGGATCCTAGACAGAGGTGCTGGAACAATTTTGTATATGGGGTGCTGAAAGTGGAAATCATATATTTGGTTGTTGTTACTATTTCAAGACAGTATCTTCTTGCCATTTACTTTAAAAAGTGCACATCTCAGCTCCATGATAGCAACACCAGGGAGAAGTTGTGAGAGGTCGGATCCAGTTGGGAAGGAGAACTGCAACACCTGGAATAAAACTACCAAGGGAAGATTGTGGACAAATCAGTGGTCACCAAAACAGGAAAGGGGGGAATGTACAGAAGTGTAACATGCCCCGAGCAGGGGTGACATTTCATGATGCAACTACTTTCTGCTGTGACACATTCATTCCTTATGGCTCTGCCCTCTTGTGCCCCCGGAGACTGCCCTAGAACACCTACAAAAAGCCTGGGTGTCTCTGTGCTGCAGAACAAGGTATGTGGTCTCCTGATTAAAGTGTCCCTCTGGGTTGGGGAAGCAAGTAGCAGAGGTCAGCATGTTTCAGCTCTGCAGTGCAGGAATTACCTAGAAAGCAGCAAGACGAACAGGTGACTCCACCATGTCTATGTCTTTGTCAATAAGCCCAGCAGACCCAGCAATCTGTGGGCTTGTTTGTGGACTGTCTGGCCCAGAAGTTGGGATTTTGAGATTGTCACAGTCCTAGTAGAAGAAGGTGCTGTAAGGCATTTGCGGTGTGGTTTGGTTTGTAATATCAAAGGCTCATTTAAATCAGGGAAGAGCATCAAAATTTGGACCATTGTTGCTCTCCCTATAGCATTACTGCAGCCAGGGGGTGCTCCTCTATTAAGTACAGTTAAAGACACAAACAATCCAAGGCTCACTAAACTGACATAGCTCCAGACTGCAAACCAGGCAAATGATGAACTGTGCAAAGCTTGAAAAGCTTAAAACTGATTTTTATGATCATGCAATTATAATAGTGAGATTTCCTGCAATTGTTTTAGAGGGAATCATGATTAAATAGGGCTGTATGTTTTTTTAATGTGCTCCCCAGTTCCTCTTTAATACCTTGGTAGGAAAAGATAAAGTGTAATCACTAACGTAATTGTAGTGCTCTACATTTTATGTCTCAAAAGAATGACTAGGGGTTACAGAGACACTGCAGGGCAAGGTTTGGATTAGAAAATACAGTTTTTCCTTTTGTTATTTCCTTTCTTAATCCCTCTTTATCTTTTTTCATCCTCCAGTAGCTTCTGGGGTTGGCTGATAGTATGGGGAAGAAGCTTGCAGGTGAACTCTGCCAGTACTGTACCTGTTACATTAATGACACAGACAAATTCCAGATGCTTTTTATGCTTTTCTTTCTCACCTGCCTAAACAAGAAGGCTGCAAAGCAATGTCCTTGCCTGAAATACCAAGTTGTCCCTGCAACCTGCCTGGAAAGACATTCTGAATACTAACATGAATCAAATCCCAATCTCTAATACCTTGTCCTTTATGGCTATAAAGGCACCTCCTGTAGATAAGATTCCAAACAGTACCTAACGGCAAAGCCTCAAACATGACAACCTTAGGAGAGTGCAATAAGGAAACGGTCTTTAAATCTTTCTCTGCCCCTCAAAACTTTTCTGTTTCTGTTGAGATACTGGAAACAGATCTAGACAGGAACAGTTCATTCAGCCCCACTGCAGAGCAAGCAGGTGATCCTAAGGGCATCCACATCATGAAGGAGACACTGCTGTCAGTCCCAGATTGCAGGGAGTTTAACATCTACAGTGTCTGATTAAAAGCTGCTTTTGTCTTTACCTCAAAATCACCTTCACCTTAAGTACAAATACACCAGGAGGAAACATAAATAAGATCTGAAACCCTGACAAATCATTTAAAACTACCCATGAGAAATGAGAGGTGGTGAAAATGAGAATGGCTGGCATTTAACTCACATTGGGAAATGCCAGGGGACTCTCCTAAACAACTTGGAGAAGGCCCAAGGTGGCCTCCAGGATGTAGCAGTGATTTGAGCTGCCATGACCAAAGACAACCCCACCATTTCAAATGAATGAGTAGTACCAGCCTAGAGAAAAGTCAGGGGATCCCTGAGGGAGTCTTTCTTTGTACTCAAGCCTGACATCCATCCACCCAACAGAGGGTAATGGTAGCACACACATCAGTTGGGCTGCTGGTGCACTGAGACCACAACCTATTACATGGCCCAATATTGTCTCAGTGTTCCCTTGTACTCCCCCATCGGCCTATCTATACCCATCTGTTGTCTCTGGTCTTATCTTTAGACTATAAACTCTTTGGGGCACAGACTTGTTTGTACAGTGCTCAGCACAACAGGGTCCTGGTTTTTGATTAGGCTCTATGGTAATACAAATAAAAAATAAAAATAATAACAGCTGTCTCCGTGAAAAGTTATTGAGTGGGATGTATGGACTATTTTACATAGAAAAACCCTTCTGGCTTTCTGATTTATGAATCTATGTGACTGTTAGCTGGTCAGGTACTCAGATACTACAGCGTGGAGGTCATATGAGTACTGATAGACAGACAGACTCTCTCTGTCACTGGCCTGGCAGCAAGGGTATTCTTCTTGAGTAAAAATGATAGGTTAGCAGCACGGATGTGGTATATTTACTGCCTTTCATCAGTATACATGACACAGACATGCTAAGAATAATTCTCCCAAGGAACTTGTCTTGCTGAACGACTAGAAAAGAGCCATTTGTCCTAATTGGCTGAAACTATCATATATATTGATATCCTTTGCTTTCTGCTTGGTCTCTGAATCTCTGAAACAGAAAGCAACATTTTGCCATGAGTACCTGACCAGCTAACCTAGGAAATGGCCCTGGTCACAGGAGTAGCATTACTAACAAAAATCTTCTTTAGGGGCTTGAAGTCCCTCTTCTCTCTACTTTTTGAACGGGGTGGGTCCTGCTTACATTAAACACTCCTCTCAATACATCTGGCTATACAATCAGATTCCACTCGGTGTGCATGTGACTTACACATACATTTTCAGACACTTGAAGAATATGCGTCTGTAGTGGCCTGTATCGTCCAATCACTATTGAAAATTTTATGGTGTTTGTTTTCTCTCTGATGTGCGTGCATAGCTCCAGCTACTGAACACTGTCTTCAAAATGTATGCGTGGCTTTAGTTAAAATCCTGGTCAGAAGTTAACTTTGAACTAGAGCTCGCAACATCCTTAAATGAAGAAGGACCAAACTTTGACACTGCAGGTATGAATAATAGGGATCTACTTTCCTACTTACTTTCCTTCATCTGTTTTAGTTCTAACAGAGGTAAACCAGGCTCCAAACGGTAAAGGTGACAAGCAGGTTCTGTTGTGCATTTCTTTGTGAGGCAGTGACATGTCTCCAGCTCAGAGACACCTGCACAGCAGTGGGTCATGAGGTCACACAGACACACGCAAACATCATTTTCAACCTTAATTGCATTTCTGTCATGTTTTCTTCACTGCAAGTGAAGGAACCCACAGCTCGGCTCACACTGTGCAATGCAGCGTTTAGGATTCTGCATTTAAACAGTATGAGTGGCAGTAGAATAGGCTTTTGGAAAGCAAGGCAGAGTTCCAGTATAAAACAAGTATCAGCTCCTCCCTCATGTATCATCAAATGTGCATTCACATTTTTGAAAGCAGTGTCTATTTGCAGCATGTATACCAAGAATTGCCTCTGGACACTGATGTCTGGTTATTTTTTCCCCTTATTTATATTAAACATTGAAAGGTACATAAAAATGCAGAGCTGTCATGACTGGGGCAATCTAAGAAGAAATTAATTTTTAGCTGCTTATTCACTTTAAAGGAACTGCCTCTTGTGCTATTAACAAATATGACAAATTACTTTGGGTCTGCTTGGTATGTCACTAACAGAAATCCAAGATGGAATGAAAGAAATAGCATATCTCCACTACCTTTTCCTCATGCTGGTATTTTCAAAGACTGTAACAATTTCATAAATCTGTGATGATAATGGAAATTTCTGTTAATCTGTGTCACTATCCCCAGTTGGAAACTTTAACTTACACAGGCAGCTGACAGTGACTAGAGATTTCTGCCGTGATTTGGAACTGTAAAGTATAAGGGCTTTGTTCATCTAGAAAGCCTGGCTCCGCAGGCGGTGCTGACATGGAGGCTCTATGACTTGATACCCACAGAGTCTAACTGTCATTCAGGCTGTCTGAGGCCCATAGCAACGGTAGCGGCAAGCAACTCCCAGTACTGCAGAATGTCCCTATACAATATACAGAATACAGAGAGTGAAGAGAAAAATCTCTTTTCAGGCCTCTCTTCATGTGCTTCTGTTTATAAATGTCTCTAGGCTACCAAAGTCATAGGTCCTTTCTAAATACTTCAGAGAACATTTTTCATTCCACCATGACTGACGGTCTAGAAGGAATGTAGCCACTTGAGGCAGTGGGACTGGAGCCAATGTAAGGAAGGGGTGGGCGTGAAGCAGTTAGCAAGACTTGTTCCCATGGTGTGGGTGTCAAAGGACTCAGTCCTTTCATAGATATGGCCATAGAATCATAGAATCTCAGGGTTGGAGGGGACCTCAGGAGGTCATCTAGTCCAACCCTCTGCTCAAAGCAGTACCAATTCCCAACTAAA